TCCACACAGACCCAGGGGATCAGGGGTGGGAGCTCCCCCCTTCAGGCACAGAGCAGGGCTGATCACGGGGTTGGGCGCCTTCCCCTGTCACGAACAGAGCAGGGCGGATAGGGAGGTTGTGGCCCGCCCCCTGTCACATACAGACCGCAGGGCGATCAGGGGGTTTTGGGCGCTGCCCCCTGTCACGCTGATCCCGGTCCGGGAGGCATATTACCCTTTTACTATATAGGATAGAGGCCTGGTGCACGGGTGGGGGCCGGCTGGTTTGCCCTGAAAGGTGTCCTGGGTCAGGGTGGGGGTCCCACTGGGGTGCCTGGCCAGTCTGGGTGAGGGGCTGAGGGCCGTTTTCTGGCTGGCGGGTGACTAAAGCTCCCAACAGCTCCTTTTTTTCTTTTTCTTTTTTTTATTCTGGGCCAGCTTTAGCTCTGAGGCCTCAGCTGCTGAAAGCCGGTTTCTGGCCTTTGTTTTTCCTTCTGTATTTGATACAATGGTGCGGTCCGGCTGGCTGAACCTGGCTGACTGAAAGCCGGTTTCTGGGGTTTTGTTTAGCTTCTTATTTGCAACATAGTACATAATTGCTTAGAGTTGCAGCTGAGAGGCCGGGAACTCAGGCGGGGAACGTTAGAGTCAGCCGTTACTGGAGCAAGCAAGCCTCCCTGTTCGCTTCAGTGCATGGCTGCCGGCCGCCATCTTGGCTGACAGTTAATTTGCATAAGGATATGCTGATTAGCCAATGGGAAGGCTAGCGGTCGTACGCTAATTACCATGTTTCTCTTTTATTAGTGTAGACTAGGGGCCCAGTGCACGAATTTGTGCACCTTGAAAGGAACTGTGGGCAGTGAGGCTGTGGTGGGCACAGAGGTGGGTCTCGGCCCATCCTTTGTGCCCCCGCCTGGCCCCCGCTGTGCCCCCTGGTCCCCTTTCTGCTGGCAGCCCTGCTCCTGCCACTGCTGCTCCCATGCGCTTATGGTGCCAGCCCTGTCGCACCTGCTGACGGCACGGAGCGATTGGGGCCAGCGCCTGCAGCGGGTGCAAGTGGTGGCTACTGCCCCAATCACCCCTCAGAAGCAGGGGAAGGTGGAGAAGCCCTCAGGGGCGATCGGGGCTGGCAGCCCCCACTTGTATCCGCTGACAGTGCTGAGTGATCGGGGCTGGCACTGGGCTCCGGCTGTGGCACCGGCAATGGTGCAAGCGGGGCCAGCGCTGGCAGCAGGTGCGAGTGCCCAGTGGGACCGTGGCACGTGGGAGCAAAGAATTTTCGGTAACCAGCAGAGGCTAGCCTCGATGACAGCGACCGGTGCCCTGCCTTGGTCTGGTGCTCCCGCTCAGCTGCTCACCATACCGCCGCGGCCATGCCCGCCATGTTCCATGCACTGCTGCCTGCTGCCAATACCTGCCATGTTCCATGCGTGCCCCCTGGTGGTTAGTGCACGTCATAGCAACCGGTTGTTCGGTTGTTCTGCCGTTCAGTCTATTTGCATATTAGGGTTATATATATATATAGACTAGAGGCCCGGTGCACAAAAATTTGTGCACTGGCGTGGGGGGGGGTGTCCCTCAGCCCCACTTGTGCCCTCTCACAGTCTGGGACCCCTCGGGAGATAATGACCTGCTGGCTTAGGCCTGCTCCCGGGTGGCAGAGGGCAGGCCCAATCCCTAGGTGCAGCCCCTGGTCGTGCTCAGAGCAGGGCCAATTGGGGAGTTGGGGCGCCGCCCCCTGTCATGCACAGAGCAGGACGGATTGGGAGGTTGCGATGCCACCCCCAGTCACGCTCAGGGTAGGGCCGATTGGGGGGTTGGGGCACCGCCCTGTCACACTCAAGGCAGGGTCGATGGGGAGGTTGTGGCGCCACCCCCTGTCACGCACAGAGCACGGCCCATTTGGGGGGTTGGGGCGCTGCCCTTCTGTCATGCACAGAGCAGGGCCCATTAGGGGGGTTGGGGCTCCGTACCCTGTCACACACAGAGCAGGGCGGGATCAGGGGGTTGGGGAGCTCTCCCCTGTCACGCACAGAGTAGGGCCGGTAAGGGGAGTTGGGGCACCAACCCCTGTCACACACAGAGCAGGGCCGATCAGGGGGTTGGGGCGCCGCTGCTGTCACACTCAGGGCAGGGCCGATGGGGAGGTTGCGGCTCCACCCCATCACACACAGAGCAGGGCCCATGGGGTGGTTGGGGCGCCTTCCCCTGTCACGAACAGAGCAGGGCGGATAGGGAGGTTGTGGCCCTACCCCCGTCACACACAGAGCCACAGGGCGATCAGGGGGTTTGGGCGCTGCCCCCTGTCACGCTGCTCCAGGGGCCAGGAGACCTCGTGGCTCCGCTGATCCCAGGCTGGGAGGTCTCTCGGCTCCGCTTGACACCGGGGCAATGAGGCCTCACGGCTCCGCTGATCCCGGTGCCAGGAGGCCTCGCGGCTCCGCTGATTCCGGTGCCAGGAGGCCTCGTGGCTCCGCTGATCCTGGGTTCGGGAGGCCGCGCGGCTCCGCTGATCATGGGTTTGGGAGGCATATTACCCTTTTACTATATAGGATAGAGGCCTGGTGCACGGGTGGGGGCTGGCTGGTTTGCCCTGAAGTGTGTCCTGGATCAGGATGGAGGTCCCGCTTGGGTGCCTGGCCAGCCTGGATGAGGGGATGACGGCTGTTTGCAGCTGGTCACACCCCCTTCAGGGTGGGGGTCCCCACTGGGGTGCCTGGCCAGTCTGGGTGAGGGGCTGAGGGCCGTTTTCAGGCTGGCGGGCGACTGAAGCTCCCAACCTCTCCTTTTTTCTTTTTTTTATTCTGGGATTTATTTACCTTCTATAGCTGTCACTGGAGCTGAGAGCCGGCTTTAGCTCTGAGGCCAGCTCCAGCTTGAGACCTCGGCTGCTGAAAGCAGGGATCTGGATTTGTTTGGGTTCTATAATTGTAACACTGTTTTGGTCCTGCTCGCTCCAGCTCTGACGGCTGAAAGCAGGTTTCTGGAGTTTTGTTTAGCTTCTATATTTGCAACAATGTTTCTTAGAGAGCTAGCTCAGAGGCCGGCAAGGCAGGCGGGGAACCTTGGCTTCCTCCGTCACTGGAGCAAGCTAGCCTCCTGTTCACTTCAGCTGCCTGGCAGCCGGCCGCCATCTTGGTTGGCAGTTAATTTGCATATCGCCCTGATTAGCCAATGGGAAGGGTAGCGAAGTTATGGTTAATTACCATGTTTCTCTTTTATTAGATAGGATTATCATAGCTTCATAGTATCTGGTGGGCAAGTTTTTGCTCATTACCATTCTCTTTTAGAAATTTCCTGGCTGTTGCTATACCAGTACAACATAGTTAACTTTTAAAAAAATAATCTTTTTCATAATTAACTTTAAAATATTATTAATTTGGTATAATTTGATTTGGAATGTGTTAACTTTATAAATTACTTTAAAAGAAGTGACAAATTATTGTGACATCCTATCCAGGAATACGGTATGTCTCTCACTTCTATCTTTCTTCATATATAAGTCAAATAAGCTTAGTAAAATAAACAATAAAAATCATAGTTTTATGTAAATCGTGGGAACATGTCGTATTTGCTTTATCTATAGGTATTTTATTTTTTGTTGTTGTGGAAGTCTCCTTTCTCATGGCTTCTTTTCCTCCTATCAGCTCTGCCTCCTCTCCCCACCCATCTCCTAGGAAGGACCCCACAGGAAGGAAGGAGAAGGCAGTGGATGCTGGGCCTCTACCATTGGGAACTCAGGTGAGGTTTTTCAATCTCAAACCTCTCCTTTACCCCTTATTCCTATACTGTATATGGGTTTCACTGCAGAGGACAGGGCTATTGAGATCTCTGAATGTTGGATATTTTTCACAAAGCTACCTTCAGTTTCCCTCAGCTCTGTTCTCAGCTGTCACTTCCTCATTCAGCTGGCCTATTGAGCTCTTGGTGCTGTTCAAGGGTCAGAAAAGGAACAAACATTATATGAGAGAAGGTTCTGGTGCTTACAGGGCTATGGACTCTCAGGGAACATAAAAAGTTACATCTCTACAAGATGCAGTCACGATGATTGTACATGAATCTGATAATAAGAATGAGTATGGTTAAGTACCCAGATTTTCAGTGTTCTAAGACCTGGAGAAGGAGTGTGGCAGCCAGGAGAAGTAGGGTTGGATAGGGATAATGGGAGAGGATTTGCTGTAATGGAGTCAGAATGTCCCAAGTTTACTACTAAATCCTAACTTGACCATTTAATATCTGTGTTGTCTTGGGTAGGTGACTTGAGTTCCCTGAAGCATCAGTTCCTCATGGTCATGGTAGAAATAACAGCATTAACCAAGTGTTTGCCACATACTTGACTTTGGTAACAATTTCACATGGCTTATTTCATTTAATAATACCTATTTCATAGGTTTGTTGAAAGTTCAAATGAAGTAATGTAAAAAAAAAGTGCCTAACATCATTGTTCCTGAGATGTTAAAGGCACTAGGTAAGTGTAGGCACCCTCTGCACCATTCCAGCCAAGTGCTTGGTATTTACTAGTAGAGTTTAGAGGTAGAGCAGATGTAGCATTGACTGGTAGTGAGGAGTTAAGTTTGGGGTCAAGTGCCAGGAACAAGGAGTTTGTGTGTTGGTGAGGTGGTAGGCATGGGGGTGGAGGAAGAGTCACAGAAGTTTTGATAAAGGAATTGGCATAAGAATTTTTCTAGAAAGAAGCAGTGTCCGTCAGCTAGAGGAAATCATGGGACAAAAACAGTGAATGAGGAGCCTTGGCTTTTTTTGCACTGATTACTTTAAAATGGAAGCTGTGCCCTGGCCAGCATGCTCAGTGGTTACAGCATTGGCCTGCTCACTGGAAGGTCATGGGTTCAATTCCCAGTCAAGAGCATGTACCTGGGTTGTAGTTTCGATCCCCGTCCCTAGTTGGGGAGCATGTGGGAGGCAACCAATCAATGTGTCTCTCTCACATCAGTGTTTCTCTCTCCCTTCTCCCCCCTGCCTTCCACTCTCTGAAAAAAATCAATGGAAGAAATGTCCTCACTTCTCTAGTGAGGTTTAAAAATAAAATAAAATAAAATGGAAGCTGCTAGTTTTTACTAGAACCTGGAGTTATTGCTTCTCTGGAAAAGGATATAAGACATCAGGCGGACTTGGCTCAGGAAGCACTAAGTTTTGTTTTATATTTTTCTTTTTTAAGGTTAGGCTTACGTAACTTTATAGTCCTGAAGGACTTGCAGTGTTTTCCTCATTCATTAGATCATGCGTTAGGCTTCTCTTAAATGTGTCACTTGTTTATTTAGCAAAGGAGCTAGTTTTTTTAAAATTGATTTTAGAGAGAGGTAGGGAAGGAGAAACATCCATTGGTTGCCTGGAGCCCACCACCTTCTGGTGTACGGGATGATGCTCCAATCAACTGAGCCACACCCGCCAGGACCCAAAGAATCCAGTTTTAAGAAGACTTCATGAAGACAAGTATAACTGTTATGATTTCTGTTTCTACTACTTCCTCACCTTGATATTATCAAGCTTAGTTCTAAAAGTCAGCATAACTCATAGTTATTATAGAAAGGGAGTTTCTAGAAGAGGGGAAGGTTTGAAGAGGGAGCATTCAGAAGATTTTGGTTGATGAAGGTTGTGGTTTGGTTGTCACTAGCCTTGATTGGTTTTATTTAAAATAGTGTTAATTATGTTTTTAAGTCAGCATTCTTTTCAGGTATAATTTATAAAAAATAACCTATTTTGAGCTTATAATTAATTGAGTTTTGCCAAATATATGCACCACTTCAGTGAAGTTGTAGAACATTTTCATCACTCCAGGTGTTCTTACCTCTTTCCAGTCCACATTCCCCATTCCAGGCATCCACTGGTTTTACATACCAAAATACAAAAATCAAAAGGACGAAACAATGATATAGTACTGTTACCTAATCTACAAATTTTACTCATATTTTGCCACAGATGTCCTTTATCTGGTCAGATCTAATCCAGATCACAACTGAAACTTAGCTGTCCTGTCTTCTTAGTCTCCCTTGATCTAGAACAGTTCCTCAAGTCTTTGTTTTTGGTGACTTTGATACTTTTGAAGAATACAGTGACTGATTTGGGATGCATTGGTGCAGCGTTAGAGCTATTTTCCTTTCTTCATCTTTCCTCCTATTTATCAGCCAGTGATGTGACTCTGAGTTGCCAAGTATGACTTATATTTGCCTATAAGTTATATCTTCTTTTTCTGAATATAAATATTGGGCATATAATTGTAAAAAAATTTCTGAAGAAAAAAAAAATTTCTGAAGCTATAATGTATACTCCCAAGTTTCAAACCCTCAAAAATAACTATGGATATAAATTTTTTAAATATCTCTCACATCTTTTGCCAATTTTAATAGTGGGTTGTTTATATGTAAAAAAAACCTTTCCTGTAATGTGAATATTAATCCTTTGCCATAAGTTGCCAATACTGTTCCCTGTCATTTTTCTTTTAAATTTGTTTATAACATCTTTTGTTACAGATAAGTTTTGAAGTTTTATTCAGTTAACTTTCCTTTTTCTTTGTTTGGCTTTGGAATCATGCTGTGAAAAACTTTCTGTACCCTAAGATTACATATAAATATATTTCTATGTTTTCTATTTGTTTTATCATTTTAATTTTAAATCCTAGCTATCTGGAATTTACTTACTGTACATTATATGAGGTTACAAGATAACTTCATTTAACATGGTGAGGTGAGGCAGGTATAATTTATATAAAACTAGAGGCCCGGTGCATGAGTTTGTGCACGGGTGGGGTCCCTTGGCCTGGTTGGCGATTGGGGCCATCGGGGCCATCAGGGCCCTCTCACTCAGTCCGGGGGTAGGGACTGCGGGAGGTTGGCTGGCTGGGGGTAGGGACTGCAGGAGGTTAGCTGTGGGAGTTCACTGACCACCAGGGGGCAGCTCCTTGTTGAGTGTCTACCCCCTGGTGGTCAGTGCATGTCATAGTGACCAGTCAACTGGTCGTTTGGTTGACCGGTTGTAACGGTCGCTTAGGCTTTTATATATATAGATTACTTATTCAGGTATAATTTCATTATCATCCATCCATTCATTAAACAGATAGTTAGCACCTGCCTATCATATGCTAAGCTGTGTTTCGAATGCTGGGAAGATAACAGTGAATGAGCCAGGCAAAGTTCTTCTCTTCTAGATCTTATCTTCTGAAAAGGGGAGGCAGCAATGGAGAAGAGACATTACTGAAGACATTGCTAAGATGTGCTGGCCACACAGCAGGTTGGTATGGTCAACTGTGACATGGGAAGGATGGAGACTGGTTAGACAGCCGGAGTGGCGCCACAGTTTCTGCTGTAGTACCACAGACATTCTGTTTATTTAGAATTTATTACTTCACAAAGCAAATTCCCCTAATTTTTCTTTTCAAAGTTTTGGTTACTGTATTGTTCTTATACATTTATCCTTATAATTAAATTTTAATAACTATCCAGTTTTATTAACTTTATCAAGTTTTATTAACTTTATCAAGTTCTAAAGGTAATATGCAATTTTGATTTGCATTTCATTAAATATATATTAATTTGAGGAATACTACCATATTTACAATGTTTATTTTTCCTATTGAGTAAAAAAATTACCCTTCATGTTATTCAGATCTTTCATTATGGCTTCTGTTAACTTTGATCATGAGGATCTTGCATATTTCTATTAAGTGTATTTTGCCATGTTTCATTTTTTTGTTGCTATTGTGATTGTGATTTAACCATGATTGGGATTTTGTAGAAAGAAAAAAGATTGCTAAGAATTCTATCTGAAGACATTTTGCTGTTGTGGTGCCTCAACTTCATCACGATCGTATCTTCTCTATAAATCACACTTCCATCATTTAATGTATCCCTATTTATTTCACTTGCACTCCACCTTTTCAAAGAATAACAATATCAAAAGGCCAGTGTTTTTAGGTTACATGAATGACGTAAGTCCATGAAGCTGCTTTTTTCCAACACCATGAGTCATCCTGTGCTTCATGTATTGCTGAGAGAAAAGGACCCAGACTAAGTGGAAAAGGAGAAAAAGGAAACAAAAACACGTCTTCATGGGTTAACAAGAAATACATTTTATGAACAGTAAAGGATTAACAATATATATGTTTTGTGAACGATACTGTTGTACTTTAACCTTTTAAAATGCCTTTCTGTGCTTAACTAAATCAGTGTTTCCTGAGCCCATGGCCAGCACAGGAATCCACAGGACATTTCATGATGAGAGATAAGCTTTGGGGCACGCTGAGGGCTATGCAATAAGGGGATGAGAGACTAGGGAAGTGGGGAAGACCATATAGTTCATTTGAGTCTGAATTTGGGTTTTTCAGCTAACAAGTCAATTTATTGAAAAAAGTGGATTAATTTTTGGAAAGAGAATGCCACATCTGTTCTCACAAACTAGGAGTTTCTATTTTGTTTCCACATATATTCTACCTTAGATGATATTTCTGTGTTCTTCCTGCTTGCTTTTTATTTGCAATTGCCTGCTAGCTCTTGTCTCCCTGCCTCCCCTCCCTTTTATTTTAACTTTTTGTTTGTGTTTTAGATCTATCTCTTATATGTGCCATATAATTGGATTTTCAACCAATTTTAGAGTTTTTGACTTTTAATAGAGAAAGTCAACCCATTTATGTATCAGGTTTTTTTCTGGTTATTTAATGTTTATGGTTATTATGCTTTCTTGTTTCCTTTTGTTAATGATAGGTTTAGGCTATAATAAAGAATACAGTGTTTATGGGAGCAAAGGAGGGATTGCAATCCATGGCACTGATTCAGGTAGCAACATAAACTGTGCTTCAAAGGGAACAGGGGAAGGCAGGGTTTGTAAATGGCAGAACCAGCAGAGTTGCTCTCATTAAAGCCTTTGAGTAGATGAAGAGTGTTGGCGAGGTCAGTGGCATTGTCAGGCCCATCATGTCAATGGCTGGGTTCCTTTCAAGGCGAAGTATGCATCCAGGATGTTTGTTGTTCGCCCTTCATCTGAGTGCAGCAACAAGTCAGCAACTTAACAGTAGTTCCAAGATTTATCCATGAGCCGTGTATAGGCCTCCAAAACTGTTTTAAGTGACAATCTTAGCAATGCTTATTTCATTTTATTTTCTTCACATCACCTTCTCCTTTCTTTACATTTGTTGAACTGATGACTTTTCTTGGCTCCTTCTTACCTTCCATAAAGTGAAAATAAAATCCTATACTAATAAAAGACAAACATACAAATTGACTGTACTTTTGCTACGCCTTAAGCCACGCCCACCAGCCAGTCAGAGTGACTCTATGCAAATTAACCCAACCAAGATGGTGGCCGGCAGCCACGGAGCTGGAGCGAGCAGGAGGCTTGCTTGCTCCAGTGATGGAGGAAGCCAAGGTTCTCCGCCTGCCGCGGCCCGGCTCTGAGCTCCACTGAAAGCAACAAAGTTTCAATTATAGATGGTAAACAAACCCCAGATACCTGCTTTCAGACAGCCATGGCCACGGAGCTGGAGCGAGCAGGAGTGGGTTGCCCCTGGCGATGGAGGAAGCCAAGCTTTCCACAGGCCTCCACTAAAGGCAACAAAGTTTCAATTATAGAAGGTAAATAAATCCCAGAATAAAAAAGAAAAAAAGGAGAGGCTGGGAGCTTACGTCGCCACGGTGCTTGGCCAGCCTGAAAACGGCCCTCAGCCCCACACCCAGACTGGCCAGGCACCCCAGTGGGGACCCCCCACCCTAAAGGGGGTATGGCCAGCCTGAAAACAGCCATCAGCCCTCACCCAGGCTGGCCAAACCTCCAAGGGGTGAGGGTCCCCACTGGGGTGGACATCCTCCTAGGGGTCCCACACTGCAAGAGGGCATAGGCCGGGCTGAGAGACCCCCCGAGTGCACAAATTTTTGTGCACCGGGCCTCTAGTGTATTTATATCCTAGTAGCTACCTCTGCCTGATAATATTTGTGAGTGATTTTTAACATTTTTTTTTGTTATTTTGATATATTGTTTAAATAAATATTAGGAGAAAATAATGAGATAGAAAGAAAGATAATGAACTTTGTGCCTCAGTGCTGACACTTTTTCTGGAGTTCATAGCAAGTAGAATGGCAAATACAGAAATTTCTTGGAATTGGTTTCATCCTATCTCTGGTCTCTTTAGTCCTTTCTCCCCACTAAATTTATCCCTTTTGTCTATTTACATATTATATTCTCTGTCCTTAAATGAAAACCTTTTCTATTTCTTTATTTACATTACCTATTCCTTACTTTCTATATAGTCCTATTACTCTTCTTTTCCACAAAAAGTTTAAAGTAACTTCACCTGGTTGCTTCTGATTTCTTATCTTCCATTTATTCTTTTGTCTACTGCAAGGTGACTCCTGCCTTCACCATTCTGCTGGAATTACCTAATTTTCAAATCAGCAGCTCCCCTTTCAATAATCATTCTGTTTGACCCTCTCCAGCTTCTGAGAGTGTTGACCACTCCCTTCTTCTTGAAACTCTCTTTCCCCAGCTGTCAATCCTGAATATCCATCCATCTTCCTTTCTGTCTTGCTCTCTCTTGTCTCCTGGGGTTGCTAGTGTTCTTTTCTTGGCTTTCTTCTCATCTCACAACACTGGGAGTTGGGTAGCCTTGGTTTTAAGTCCCAGCTATGTGATCTTGGAGAGGTTATTTAACCTTTTGATCAGATTCCTCATCTATAAAATGATGATTCAGTTAGTGTTTCCTCCTTGTATTAATCAGGATTCTCCAGAGAAACAGAACCAAAAAGATATATGTGAATATGTAGAAAGAGATATGGGGAGTTGGCTCATGCAGTGATGGAGGCTGAAACGTTCCCATGAGCTGCCATCTTCAGGTTCAGGAAAGCTAGTACTGTCATTCCACTCCAAACCTGGAGGCCGGAGGCCTGGGGACCAATGGTAAGTCCTGGTCCAAGCCTGAAGTCTCACAAACTAGGAACACTAATGTCTGAGGCAGGAGAAGATGGCTCTCTCCACTCAAGCAAAGAGCAAATTCACCCTTCCCTGCCTTTTTGTTCTATTCCGGCTCTCAGCAGACTGGATGATGCCCACCCTCATTGGTGAGGGCTGATCTTCTTTACTCAGTCTACCCATTCAAATTCGAGCTCCCTCTACAGATACTACTTTACCAGCTATCTGGGCATGCTTTAGCCTCATCAAGTTGACATAAAATTAACCACCACACTTAGTAAACAGATACTGAATGCTTACAGTGCTTTATTTCCTAGTCTTAAGGGCTACAGAAAAGGCAGAAATAGACTTACACATCTGAAATGCCAGTCAGGTCAAGCTGGATGTTTTATTGGTTCTCACTCACAGTTTAGATTTGTCCCGTTTGCACTTGCTTTTCTCCCAGTAATGGATTTCCACCTGTATTGTAAGGCCTGTAATTCCATGTGCTGCCTTGGCAACTTTGAGCCTCACAGGGCTGCACAGACCTACCATGAGTTCCCCTTGCCGAATATGCCCCCATCCAGCTGGAAAGGCTCCCTACCCAGCTAATTCCCTTGTTAGCCCCATCAGTCACACCCTTCCCAGGTCTCAATCTAATGGGTTTCACATCCCTACCAATCCACAGAATTGTTCAAATAAACCAAAGATCACCTCACCAGCTTGTCATTGCACAGTCTGCCTCCCACTGCTCCTGCTGGTTTGCAGTTCCTGAGAGCAACTGCATGGCTTGTGTGTCCTCCTCCCCCAGGCCGTGAGGAGTCTCCTCTGCCCAGGGCCAGGTATGGTGTGTTGGGTCATCTTGTGCTATTTGAGGTGGGAATCCCTCCTTCACCAGTGGTGTGGATAGGAGGTGATCAGAACAGTGATAATCCAGAGTAGACTTCATTACTGTCCCCATTGCTCCCTTGTGCCTCTGCTCCTTGTCCTTATATGCCAGAGCACTTTGTTTTATATTTATTTCTGATTATCTATATATATAAAAGCCAAGCAACCAGAACTCCTGAACGATCGGAATGACCAGAACAGCTGGTTGCTATGATGCGCACTGTGGCCAGCTAACCAGCCCAATTGGGGGTGGGGGTGGGGGTGGGGCAGCCCCTCCCTCCAGCTGCCCCCGGCTGGATCAGGGGCGGGGCCGGCCAGCCAACCTCCTGTGTCCCCTCACCCCCGCCGGCCTGGCCCGATCGGCCCCCATTGGGGCGGGCTGTCCGGACCCCACCTGTGCACGATTTTGTGCACTAGGCCTCTAGTGTCATAATAATGTAGATGCTTAGTTTCTTTTGGGGGATGACACATTTTTTCTCACAGAGGTCTCTTTATCCTGTCCCTTCTAAGGCTCCTTGTTTTTCTACTTCCCTCAGAGGGTTTTATTGGCGTAATCTTTGTCGAGCAGGAATTTATAGTTTCAGGAATCAGTGACACTCTAGGATGTGTCTGGATTTCACGTGGGAAGAATGGATTCATCTAGATTCTACTCCAAGGAAGTTGTGTGGGAACATGATGCTAGAGAACTACAGGAACTTGGTCTCACTGGGTAAGGACTTCCCCTTGTAACTCACCTTTCCTCACCTATTGACATCTTGTACAACCTCTGGAATTCATGAATTTGGACATGAAATCCTGGATATTTTATGGCATTGTTTTAGGGTAATTGCTTGGTGTCCTTTCTTTCCACGTGAAAGGTCTCTTCTGTAGAGAATTGGAAAATGGGAAACTAAAGAAGCCCTGTGTCCCTTTAAGAAGCCCTGAAGGGCCCTAGCTGGTTTGGCTCAGTGGATAGAGCATCCGCCTGTGGACTCAAGGGTCCCAGGTTCGATTCTGGTCAAGGGCACATGCCTGGGTTGCGGGCTTGGTCCAACATGCAGGAGGCAGCCAATCAATGATTTCCTGTCATCATTGATGTTTCTATCTCTCTCTTCCTCTCCCTTCCTCTCTTAAATCAATAAAAATATTAAAAAAAAAAAAGAAGCCCTGAAGGGGAAGGGAAAAGACTTGTGCTGGAAGTAGCTTTTATACTGAGTATAGTACACAAGTTTAATGTCGTTCCTCTGAGCAGGGAATCAGCTTTCCAAACCAAGTGTGACTTCTTAGCTGAAACGAGAAGGACTGAGCTTGATGCCAAAAGAACTTCCAGGGTATATCTCTGCAGGTAGTGTCAG